CTTGTATAGGTGCACGATAGTTGCGTCCTTGAAATCTTGCGGGACTTCACCTTGACGCCACATCCCCTGGAAGAGCGCAGTCAGGTGATCCATTAGTTGGGGACCTCCGTGCTTGTAGACCTCAGCAGGGATCGCGTCCGATCCGGGTGCTTTCCCGCTGGAGAGCTGCTGCACGGCGCTGATGGTTTCCTGGAGAGATGGCGGGAGGTCGAGGTCCACGTTGGTCTCCACTTGTGGCAGACGTTCGACGGCGGCGTCGGAGATGACGGAGGGGCGGTTGAAGACACATCGGAAGTGCTCAGCCCATCGCTGTAGAATTTGTGTCTTCTCAGTCAGGAGAGTGCAGCCGTCGGCGCTGAGGAGAGGAGCAGTGCCCTTCGTCGGCGGGCCGTAGATAGCTTTGATCGCAGAGAAGAAGTTCTTCCATTCGTTGCGGTCCGCGTAGCCTTGGATCTCCTCAGCTTTGCGAGCAGTCCAGGCGTCCTGCATCTCGCGCAGCCGTTGCTGAAGCTGTCGGCGACTGCGGTAGAAGGCAGCTTTGTTATCCTCAGTGGGGTGATCTTCGTAGGCTTTATGGAGGCGGTTCTTCTCAGCAAGCAGATCCCTGATGGCGGTGTCGTTGTCGTCGAACCAGTCCTGGTGTTGGCGGGGAGCGCGACCAAGGACGGCGAGCGCCGTCGACTGGACCGTGTCTCGCAGTTGACACCAGCGATTCTCCACGGAGGCGTTCTCGGCAGCGGCGGCGGCATCGGCGATGGGGAGGTTGTCTAGCCGTTGAGCTAGCTCATTGCTGAAATGGAGACGGTGAGCAGACAAAGACAACAAAGCAACATTCAGCTTACCTGGGGGTCGCTTACCTTGTGGTCTCCGGCGAGGTTGTAGACGAATGCGCATCTTCGATATGACGAGGCGATGGTCGGTCCACCCGTCAGCACCCGCGATCGCCTTCGTCACCAGCACGTCCCGCTGATCTCGCCTCCGGACGAGGACATAGTCCAGCAGGTGCCACTGACGCGACCGATGATGCCTTCAGGTGGCCTTCTCTCGCTCCGGCAGACAGAAGAACGTGTTCGTCAGGATGAGGCGGTGTTCTGCGCAGGTGCGTAGGAGCAGCAGGCCGTTGTCGTTGGAGCCGCGGAGACCATGAGGACCCAGCACTCCCCTCCAGGCAGTATGGTCTGTGCCGACGCGAGCGTTGAAGTCGCCAAGGACAATCAACTTGTCCGCCTTCGACACAGTCGCCAAGAGGGCGTGCAGGTCTTCGTAGAATTTGTCTCTTGCGGCGGCGTCAGGGCTGCTCATCGGCGGAGCGTAGGCGCTGATGATGGTGGCGAATTTGCCCCCACTCCGCAGATGCAGACGGAGGCTCATCAGGCGATCATTGATACCCTGCGGCAAACAGGGTAGTCGTCCCACGATGTCGGTCCGGATGGCGAAGGCGACCATCGCGTCCCGTCGCTCTGCCCTGGGTCGACCACTCCAGAAGAAGGTGTAACCGGCACCCACCTCCTCCAGTTGGCCTTGTTCGGAGAATCGGGTCTCGCTGAGTGCGGCGATGTCCACCTTGTAGCGCGCCAGTTCCCGGGCCACTAGCGCCGTCCTCCGTTCCGGTCGGTTGCTCCTCGGATTGTCTAAAAGGGAACGAACATTCCAGGCTGCCAGAGTGAGTGGGCTCAAACTGTCAGTCTGGGGAAAACGAGTGGGGCGACGGGAAGGAGGTGGAGGAGAAGATGACGAAGGAGAAGAATAGGCAGAAGAATAGACGGAGGAAGGTGAAGACGAGTTAGAATGAGGAGGATGAGTATGGTTGTTTTTGTTATAGGTATTGTTGTTCTTTCGATTTTGATTGTTTCGACCATGTTTAGACGTCTGCGGCCCTGGCTAGCCTGGAGACGGCGTGGTGCCCAGCAATGTTTACGCCACCTTTTCTAGGCCCTTCCCCTCGAGGGGGCTGGCAGTGCCACCCCTGAATAGGGCTGCCATGTGCCGATTGGCTTGGCCGAACTCCGCTATGGTACCACGGTTTTATGTTTGTAGTGGAGAGCGACTCGAATTCGCCGTAGGCTGCGGCCTCCGACGACGTAGGTGGGCGCATCAAGGCGAGGTCGAGTAGGAGTTCCATCATGTCACCGGCAGTCCGGAGTGCAGAGACGGACCACGTCACGACGGTGCCGACGCAAGTTTCCATCCGACCTTCCATCCAGCGGAGTCCGCAAACCCTGTGCACACGGCACAGCGCACAGGGCCCCCTCACCTGGTTTAGCCCGCCGGTCGAGACGGTTGCCCGGGGTGTGGCCGCTGAGCAAGGCCCAGCTACGTGGAGCCACAGGTGAGAGTTGAGTGCCAGCAAGTGCACCAGCAAATCACCGTGGCTGCTTTCACTCTGATACGAAGCACACATTGGATATGGCCGGTAATTACCCTCTAATTTTCGCGTTGATTTTGTTGCCCACTTAAGACTTCTAGGTGCTACGGGAAGTATGCACTTTCATGAATCAAACGCATCTGGTGTTTTATGGGCACGGTCCTTCTGTACCATTCCATGCTCCTCTCCTGACCTCGGCAGATAGTCACTGCAATAACCACCTCGTGAAGCAAACTAATCCAGGTCAGCTGATGCAGCGTGTGTTTTCCGTCAGTACGATGTGGTTATGTAGCCTCACCTGATGTACACAATACTGTTGACTTACTTAATTATTTTTAGTTGGTGTGAATTGATGGCATGGCGTTGCTGTGCTTTGCGGTGTGTCTTCTGTTGGCGGCCTTGTTTCTTTGTTGCTGTCCCTACCTTCTTCGGCCCAAATGCATGTGGTCATTCATGACTTTCGGCCTGTCGTCTCCTTCTTAGTTTTGGGTTGAATGTTTCAGGTTTATGATTAAGGGCTGCGGTTAGGGTTTAGGGTTGGGATTGGAGGTTTGTGATAGGGGTTAGTTTTAGGGGATGGGGAAACTATTTCTCAAGCACTCAAAGCACAGCCGCGCATTCCAATCGCTTTTCTTGTCGTACAATTACTTGACCTCGTGGTCTGTGTGTTCCCCGGCCCAACCTGTAAATAACCCTACTACCCTCGGTCCCGTATTACAGGTGACTGGGATCTGTTTACCTCAGTTCGCCAAATACTCTGCGTATTATCCTCGTAGTTGACGCTGCCAGCATTTTGACCTTGAAATACTGCGTTGTGATGCTTAAATGGTCTGCTACGAATGCCCCACGGACGTTTTGCCAATTTCCTATTTTATGCGATTGATTATAAGAGAGATACTCCCATGAATGTATATTATTCATTCGCCTCACTGGCACTACCACACTGAAGTGCCGACATTGAATTTCGTTCAGCAGAGCTCACTCCATGCCTGCAGCCATTCTATATCCTGTTTCTTTATCTGGGAGCAAATGGCAATTCTCGCATAAATAACAGCATCTGGATGTCTCTGGTCCAGTGCTTTTGACCAACGTTCGAGTGACGTGAAGAGGTTTGTAAGTCAGGACCTCTTCTCGTAGAAATCAGGCTAATCTAATCAGGGGATGAGTGTCGTTACATTCATTCACTGTGCTTGAGCTGCGTAGGCAATGCGATGTCCAGATGATCACGGTGATGTAATTTAGAATTCAACCGACCTCCCGTGGATCCTAACAATGAAATTGGCTGCAAACTGCAGTCAAGCCTAAAGCAAGTAATCGGTTCGAATTCGGAAGGCCAGTCAGATATCACACATTGTCTCAAATGTGATGGTGGGAACCTGAGTGAATTGCAGTTCACGGGTGTTATTCAAATGCCACTTCCATTGTGAACGACGTTGCCGGTATCTAAATCGACATTTAGGTAGGCATGTTGCATGCGTGTGATAGATTATTCATCGGAAGAAATTTGGACCGGTGCCAAATAAGCGGCCACAGGTCTTCCATTACGGCTACCTTACGTACTATTGTTTGTTCAGTAGGTGTGCTTGTGGTATT